AGCAAAAGAGAAAAAAAAAAGCAAAACGAAGGAAGCTGTAAAGATGATTTTATATAAAAATAAGTATCTCGAAAAACGTTTCAAACAGAATTTATTAAGTAATCGTTTATTTAATGAAAATTATTTCAAATTCATTAATGAGCAATCAAATTCAATCTAAATGTTAACTCTTTAAAACAAGTGTACTCGCATTGTTGTGACACTTATCTTTAATTCGAAAAAAGCAATATCTTTACATGTTTACCTATATCTCGAAAAGGCTACAAATTCATTATTGAGCAACCAAATTAAAGCTAAATATTCACTCTTCAAAATGTATGTACTTGTATTATTTTGTCAAACTTGAAGAAACCTTAACGAAAAAGCAGTTTTTTTCATATTCTTGCCAATATCTTGAAAAGAATGCAATATTAACCGTAATTTTCAGTTAAGTACCAAAAAAATAAGAATTTTCTTTGTAATTTTAATATAAGAAAACTGTAAGAGTGAGGAAAATATAAATAAAACTGAATTTCATCCCGATTTCTGTCAAACACACTTTACAAACATAAAAGCATACGGTAATACTCATAAATTTCTCGATACGATCTAAAAGTCGTATATTTCATCATGTACACCGAAACATTAAAAAGGAAACATAAATCGACTAAACTAAATAAATTTATAAATTTACAACATATTAAATTAACAATTATTGAAACAATTTCATTTACAAATATTTCAATTTGAATTTAAATTAATACATTCCAACAACAACAACAAAATGCAGTTTTTTATATCATACTCTTTCGAAATTGTAATTATTTACGTAATTCATACAATAACTATTGTTATTTCCATTATTCACTATAAATATTTCAATTTTTTTTATTATTTTTAACGTAAAAATATTATTTTTCAATAATTTCACTATTTAGTCGTATAAATACAAAAAATCCTCGCATAGTCCGGATTCGATTAGTCCTGGCTTTACTATAGTCGGATTTGAAAATTTGTACTTGGACAAAATAAATTCTAAAAAAAAAATAATACACAAAATTGTTTAATGATTTTATATTTAATTTCACGATTAGTCCGGTTTCAAATAGTGCGATTAACCGTACTATGCGAAATATTTCAATTAAACAAAAATAAATATTTAAAACTACTAATTATTGACTAATTTTTCTAAAATTTCATCAATTATTTAAAAACGCAATTATTACAATAAAAATGTTTCAGTTTTTTTTGTTTGCTTTACAAATTATACAAATTACAATATTGCACCAATAAATTGTATGTAAAACAAAGTAAAAAAAAAGCAAAAAATTTTCGCAAATAACACGGGAATACGAACGAAGCTAATTAAGTTTTGAATTGCTCGGCGGTAATTAGTTTGTGTAAATGCATTAATTGCGTTTTGGGGATTAAACAGAACTGCAAACCGAAATACGTTGATAGTATAAAGAAAAAAACGCGAATATGAAAATTAAGTGAAAAATATTAAAAAAATTGTTGCGCGTTTACGCGTTTTCGAGGGAGGAGAGAGGCACGGAAATAGATCCGATCCAGAAATAGGCGCATTCCGGCACCAGGAATATTTCACATTTATGAATGATGATTGTTTATAGTTTCAAACGATTTCCTTTAAGAAAATATTAATTAAAGCATTAAATGAAAAAGAAAAAAATACACGAATTTCTAAGTTTATTTGATAGTTTAAGTTAGGATTTTCGTGTCAAATTTGCGTGTTTTTTTGATTGTTTATTAGGAAATTAAATTTTGCAGTAGAAATTATGTATTTTTGTGATTGTTCTCATGGGAAGTGAACAAATTATTAAATAAAATACGCGTATTTTTTTGGTATAGAATTGGTGAGTTTGTGTGTATCGATTGTCGAGAGAAGCCGTTAAACGTCGCACATCAATTTCAACTATATACACTTGTTATTAATGCTCTCTGCACGATATAAAAAAAGTAGATATAAAAAGATTATTGACGATTAATCATCTATTATTATATAATTTTTTTTTAGTAAACTTCATAAAATGAAAAAAGAACATGAAATCAAGTTTAGAAAATATCTTAAACTTTATAAATAATAAATAAATAAACTTGTTATTGAAAGATAAAATGAAGAAGAAAGATACTCACAGTTCAGGTTTACATATGAAGAGGAAGAGAAGTGGTTATTATCAAACTACTACATTCGTATCATTGTTTCGTTCTTGTTTAACTGTCAAAAAAATGAAGAACAACACACTATCGCACTAGTAAACAGAACTTGTTGTATACGAGATTTTCGTGTTCAGAATTATTTGTATCATTTATGCATCATCATAACGCATATTCGATCAGAGACACCCGTTTTGTTCAATTGTTTATGCCTTGTTTTCTTCCTCCCGTCGATCGGACGAGGATGCAAGATACAAAGTGATAGAGAAAGAGAGAGATAGATAGAAAGACGGAGGCATGTATGTAGTATATATATATATATATATATATATATATATGTGTGTATTATATAGTGTGTGCTTTTGGATCGAGAGGCGGCGGACAGACTGCGGCGTGTCGGCGTGGGGCGGCTCTCGTGCGACGACGGCGGAGGAATCATCTGCCGTCGGGAAAGCCCTCGGAACTGGCGCAGAGCCTCCTCCGCTTCTAGCACAGATCGACCTGGATTTCCATGGCAACCCGAATTTCCACACGCTTTCCCAGACCGCCCCCCACCACTCTGACAACAACAACAACAACAATATAAAAACGGTACTTAATGCGCGATTAATAAATTAACCGGTTACCGTTTACTTAAATTAACAATAAATTTACCGCGCGTCGCTTATGCAACCCAATTAACGAGTGGAAAACTGGTGGGAAATTTTTTTCGAAAAGAGCGCAAATGAAAAGAAGGCGCTGCCGAGCGCACGATTCTAGATTCGAAAACGATAATTTTTGCACGATTTTCGTTTGTTCTTTAAAAGTAATTTTGAAATTGTTGTATTTTTCAATCATGTTCTGTACTTTTTAGCGAATTATATAAGAAAATTCTTAATATTTGTAAGTTTTAAATAATTATCAAATAAAAAAATGACAATATTGGCAAACTTTCAATACACAATATTTTAAATAATAGAAATTAGAAAATTTAACATTAACTTTGAATTTCATACATTTTTGTAACTATTTTTGTTATAAATTCAGTTGTATAAATGATAAAATTTAATTTTTTTTAGTAGACAACAGAAAATTGAAATTTTTTTAATTTCTTTCGTTTTCTTTATTAAATTATAAATGTATAATTTTTACAGATTTTAAACAATTACCAAAAAAAAATCGACGATAATGCAAAATTTCCAATATCTAATTAAAAAATTGTAAATTTTAATCGTTTGCTGTCGAGCGGCGGATATATCCGCCCTGTCCTGTAGACGCACCACTTGTGTTACCGAAATACGCCACAACATAACAAAACGCAGCAGTTGAAATTATGTCCATTCAAAGATATTAATTGAAAAATTTACAATATATTTTGTACAAATATCCAAAGTTAATAGCTTTACAAAACGTAAAACAAAGAAATATTCCGTAATCCAATGACAAGTTGTTTTACAGCGCCGAAAACACGAAGCGTGGTCACGTGAAACACCTGTCGTTCGCACCTTCTTTTGTTTGGGTCACGATCTAACACCTTTTTTTATGCCAATTGTCGTGTACATCCAATAGGTCAACAGCCCAAATATGTTTGCGTTTGTAAGACGTCATGTAAATAACAAGTATTTCGTGCAAATTTTAAAAACTTATAATTACGCTATGAGACTTACCAATTGCTATGTCAAAGTATAAACAATTGCAGTTAGTATTCATTTTAATGCGTGGAATTATTGTTTTTCCTCTGAATTTCATGAAACGTTTTTCTTTTTAAAGAAAAATTGTGTTCTACAAACATTTCAAACGTCAAATCTGAAGGCCGTTTGTTTTGTTTGAAATATGCACCTGTCCCGTTTGCCATTTGTTTGTACATCAAAAACAAATGTGATTGATTGATTGATTCGACTGATGGGAAAATCAGCGGAGTGCTCGAAATTGCGAGCGAAAATTGAATAGAATCGATCGTTTCCGCAGAGATATGGATTTAATAAGACCCTAAAACCCAACACCGAAACCGAATCAACCCTGTTTTTGGCGCATCCCCTCTCTCACTCGCACTCCCTCTATCATTCACCCTAATTCCCACTTTCTCTCTATCTCTCTCTCTTCTATACTCGATCATTTTTCATCCATTAATTGACATTCAAATTTCCGGTCTCCAAGGCGACAGAAGAAGATTGATGCCACTCTACAAAAAAAAAATCCTCCCTCCATATTATATTTTTTTTTATTAAACAATGAACGTTTCCATAATCCCGCTCGATTCGAATTTCACGTGGATGGATATATTCAACCACAGCTACTACTACTACTACACTACAGTCTTCGCAGTAAGTCAGCCCATTTGATACCAGTCATTAATGTGGAGACATGATGGATTACGTCTTGTCGCGACGTCTTCAGTATTCATTTCCCTTCCTCGAAACCCTTCATCCCTAATTAATTACTCGCACAGGACATTCATTACCCACATACAATAATAATAAACGCGGATTATTGATTGAAATTTCCTGGTCATTAATTAACGCGTATTACTTAATTACGTTAATTTAAATTAAATTAAGACCTAAATAAAACTAAATATGTCGTAACATCTGTTAATTATGATTATAAGATTCAACGAACCTTGTGAATCTTATAACAGATGTCATACAGTTACTAAGAACGTGACATCTGTCAATAATGACAGTTCTACCTAATGACTTATAGTTGCCAACGACACAATTCTTGTTACTACTTGTTTGAGTTGCTCCTGTTACGACTTACCTTAAATATTTTATGATTTAGATGTGAAATAATGATTTTGAAAACTTTTCGACTTCATGATTTGCCAAGGATTATGAATTGCTTATGATTTTGGTAAATGTTGTTGGAGTAATTATAGTTTATTGATAAATTATAGAGAGTTAATAGTAGATATATAGATAATCCAGCACCTATTGAGATTGATAAGAAAATTTGATTATGTAATGTATTCAGTGGAATTAGAAGAAGACGATATCCTCGGTGAAGGCGCCGCAGAGCCGGAATTCACTTCTAGAGAGAACGGCCCTCATCAGCTGCGGGCAACGAGCAGAGTATGCCGCTGGACGATGGGAGGAAACACGTAAAACGAATTCCCTCTTCGCAGCCAAAGGGAAAGTGGTGCTCTTCGGAACCTGCGCCTGATCGTGGACAATCATATTGAGAGCCTTCTGGGCATCGGAAAACATAGTGACCAAACGTTCGCCTACAAGCGAATCCGCCCTTTCTTCGATCTCCACCTCAACGCCTCGTATCAAATCACCAACCATTACATTCAAATCATTATCTTTTGAGCCTGACGGATTGAACTTGTAGAGCAACGAATTAGCCTGAGAGAGAGTCAGCTCCAAATCCACGAGCTCCAAGAACATCGCTTCATACTTGTGCATATTCACTTTGGATTCGCGCGTCAAGCGCTCGCAGATCTTCGTGATCTTCTGCAAAGCTTCTTGGGAATCGTTCATCGCTACATCAACTACATCGCACTCATCCATCACCCTGCAGATGGCGACCTGCGCCAGAACAGGAACCAGAAGCTCCCCAATCTGCCCGATACTTCTAGAGTCCAAGAAATGAAGAACTTTTTCGGCTTCGCGCGTATCATCGAACAGACGTTTCTGACGATTAGCCGGAACCGCCTTCGCCGTCGTCCACATCTCCACCCAGGTGTTATCGGAGATCAGCATCCTCGAACTCAATTTACCTTTCTTCTGACCCCACTCATCCACACCCTCCTCCTCGATCCAATCCCTAGGCGAATACCACCTGATGAAATCCTCCAGGATAGAACCAGGATTCGCAGCTTTGAAAGACTCCATGTCGCTCAACAGCGAAGCGCTCATCATGCGCGCCCTGAGCTCCGAACCCGCCGCATCCGAACCCAACTTCAAAAGAATATCAGTGTCCTCCTCTAATTGATCTTCGGTCTTCGGTACCGGATCCTGCGTTATAGGAATATACAGCTGCTCCCCAGTCTGCAGCAGTTTCATATCCTCGAACTTCCCGAGCCTCCCAACCGATTGACGCGGCTTCTCCATATCCGTGGAACAATCGAAAAACTCCTCATCATCATCACACTCATTTTCCGATGATTCCGCCGAAGAGAATTCCCTGTCCGCGATCATCGCCTCCCGGGCGTTCTTCCGCTCGATGCAGCAGTTGAGCATCTGCAGCTTCTGGTGGAGGAGGCAAGTGCGCGCATCCGGAAAACCCGTTGCCAATCTAGAAATGAAGAAAGAGAAAGAAAAATAACAAATAAATAAACAGATATACGAAAGAGAGAGAGAGAGAGAGCGAGAAAATATCACGGGTAAAACTGGTGGCTCATTAACGGTTCTTGCTCCAGTATTCCAACAAGAATTTTGATTGAATTCAACGTATGCTAGCATTATACATTTATTTATTTACTTATCCAAGCAAGCACAGTAACAAAATGGAGAAAAAAAAAGAGAGAACGAACGTTCTTCTGGCATTAAAATCCTGAAACGGAAAAACGCGTGGAAACGGAGAGAAGAGAAAAAGGTGCAGTTCAGTACAGAACAGAGCAGAAAACGGCCTTTCTAAAACAATTCCATTATTTATATTTATGTAGATTGCCAATGCCATTAAATCCACCATACATTTTCTCCCAGTCTCGGCGATATATGCTCCTAAAGAACAATCAAAGGTCGCAAGAGAAGAGCTTTACTTTATATCTCAATGAACTTATTTACTCTAAATTTTACAACTTAATACAATGTAATTAAATTACCATTATTCATATCAAATTATTAATATTTTTGCATGTGGAAATCGTGTATAAATTAATTCAATTATAAAAGCAATAAAATTAAATCAAACTATACAATTGAATAACAAACGCGCATGATTTTTGTTTTTTTTTTGCAAAGCAAACACGATCATTTACAGTTTTGCTCTAGAAATTATGCGCATTGCATTAGCGAACATTATTAATTGAAGCATACTGCACATAATTCCAACTGTACAATTGCATACCACATGAAAAAATGTTAAATATTTAGAAATAATTTCTTCATAATTACCCACCATCGTAACTTATTTAATCATTTCGAAATAGAAAATTATTTATTTATACATTAATGAGCGTTTTATGCAGTCAAATCTCCTTTTGTGCGGTTTATTTCCTCGATTAGTACGGATTCATTAAATTAGTAAAAAAAAAGGTGTTTGTTTCATTTCGACTCAATCAAATTATAATTATTTTCTAATTGGATTTTTTTAGATGCTAATATAAATTATGCTATATTACACCTATTTGTTAGTAATTGGCTGTGGTGGGGTTTACGAAAACTGTAAATCGTAGCGGAACAGAGGAAGAGTTTTTGGGCTTCGTACTGTTAACTTTATTACAGTATATTTACAATAAACGGCTCAACAATCGCATCGAATTGGATGGGAAGAAAAAAAGATAGCTTTGCTCTTGGGTCGAGACTGTGTGAAGCTCCAATTGCTTCTTCGTTCGTGCACTTAGTTTAACGATACAAGGAGAGAAAAAAAAAATAGAACGCAGAAGAGAGAAAAACTAAATGAGAATAAAATAAACGTGCAGAAGTGGAATAATTTGCGAGCAAAATAATTCGCAAATAATATCGAACAGTTTTAATATTAATATCGTTCATTTGCAATTTCCTTTTAATTAATGTGGGCACATGCGGCGGCGGCTGTTAAACTGTAAATTGTTTGCGTTTCGCAATTTGTATTTGCATTACATTATTCGTTTCTGAATAACATTTTTCTATTCTATCTTTAACCAATTCCAAACACGTTTTTTAAACGAATGCGAATTGAATATTGTATTATCATTTCTGTTTAGTCAAATATTTATAGCACTGACCCGTTATTTGTTTTCTTTAATTAAAATTTTTGTTACTAATTTTACAAATGTTTTATAATCATAACCTAACCTAACCTAACCTAACCCAACCTAACCTAACCTAACCTAACCTAACCTAACCTAACCTAACCTAACCTAA